GTGTTAACATCTTACACAGCCATTGTACCGCTACCGACACTGAGACTGGTGTTAACATCTTACACAGCCATTGTACCGCTACCGACACTGAGACCGGTGTTAACATCTTACACAGCCATTGTACCGCTACCGGCACTGAGACCGGTGTTAACATCTTACACAGCCATTGTACCGCTACCGGCACTGAGAAACCAGCACTGGCACAATACTACTAACTGCACTCCAGGCTTCATGTGGATGTCACTTGTGTTTCCAAAAATGTCCTTTCTCACTCCCAGGACCCAGTCCAGGGTCCCACACTGCATGTGGCTGTGGGCTTTCCTCAGCACCCTCCAAGCTGTGACAGTCCTGATACTTGGCTTCTCTTTCATCACCTTGATTTTATTTGTTTATTTATTTATTTTTGGTACAGGATCTCACTCTGTCACTCAGGCTGGAGTGCTGTGGTGCAGTCATGACTCACTGCAGCCTCAACCTACCAGACTTGGGTGAGCCTCTCACCTCAGCCTCCTGAGTGGCTCGGACTACAGGCGCACACCACCACACCTGGCTAATATTAGTATTTTTTGAAGAGACAGGGTTTCGCCATGTTGCCCAGACTGGTCTCGACCTCCTGGGCCCAAGTGATCCACCCACCTCAGCCTCCCGAAGCACTGAGATTATAGGTGTGAGGCACCACGCCCCGCCACACGTTGATATTTTTGAGGAGTCATTTTTAGGATGTCAGTTGTTTTGTGGTACGTCCCTCCATCTGGGTTTGTCTGAAGTTTTCTCATGATTAGATTGCGGTTATGCATCATTGGCAAGAACCCACAGGGGTGTGGGGCCTTGCTCTGTGCATCACACCCGGGGGTCTGTGATGTCAATGTGCTTTTCTACTGGTGATGTGTGATCCCTGGTCACTTGTTTAAGGGTGTGTCTGCTGTGTTGATCCATCCTAAAATTACTATTTTTCTCTTTGTAATTAAAAATATCTTGGAGGAGATACTTTGAGACAATATAGAGATTCGGTTATTCCTTATACTTTGCCCCTAATCTTAGCATCCATGGGTAGATCATGTTTGTAGCAATTACTGCATTGCTGTCCTATTGGTAACTTTGTGTTTCCTTCATTCCTTCTACATTTATGCCTCCCATGGCTTTTAAACAGACCAGTAGTAATAATCATAAAATAGTTTGTCAGTGTATATATGTAATTGTTTTTTTTTGAAATGGAGTCTTGCTCTATCGCCCAGGCTGGAGTGCAATGGGGCAATCTTGGCTCACTGCAACCTTTGCCTCCTGGGTTCAAGCAATTCTTCTGCCTCAGCCTCCGGAGTAGCTGGAATTACAGGTGTGTGCCACCCCACCCGGCTAATTTTTGTATTTTTAGTACAGACAGGGTTTCACCATGTTGGTCAGGCTGGTCTCGAACTCCTGACCTCAGGCAATCAGCCCGCCTCGGCCTCCCAAAGTGCTGGGATTACAGGCATGAGCGACTGTGCCCGACCTGTCAGTATACTTCATTTCGCCAGTATTCTTTGAGCACCTGCTATATTCCAGTCACTGTTTCCAGCCATATCATAGGGTATGGGAATGAAGAAAACAGAAAAATCTTCGTCTGCAGAGAGTAGGGAGAAAAGGTAATAAACATAATACATACGAAAATGGTATGGTAGATTAGCATATAATAGATGTTATAGAAGAAAATAAAGCCAGGTGAGGGCTAGGGAGTCAGTACACAGTGAATGTTTAAAGCATTAAAATTTGCATTGAAAATTTTCAAAGGTATTAACAAGGGATCGTGTATGAAACATTTGCTGTGCACAGAGTGTTTGCCTGTTGTCCATTGTTGCAGGAAGGGTGGGGAGAGAGGAAGTGGAAGGTGTGGGTCATACTCTTGGAGGTGCCCGTAACCTGCACTGATGTGCTGCTGCTTTCCTCCTCTAATTCTACCAGGGTTTACTGTAAATCCAGCCGTTCTGTACATTGTCCATGCAGCACTGTTTCAGTTCCTGTTGTGAAATCAGCTACTCACATGACCACCAGGTAGAAGTTCCCATCCTGCCCAGCTTTTCTGTGTCATCTTCATATTTCAGATGAGGGAGAGAGAACCATCCTCCTTAGTTAGATCTTGTGAGTCTCCCATGAATAACATGGAACATAGAATTCTCCACCCTCTTAGGGACGTTAGAGATGATTGAGTGCGGTGTTTTTCTTTGGCTGATGACGAAGTGGAACTAAGGAAGTCTGGTGATTGAACTCAGACCATGTCATCATTGGTGCAGGAGACAGAAAGGGAAGACTCTGTTCCAGCGCTCACACCATGTCAGCACATAGTCAGAGGCTCTCGGGGCCTTCCCAGTGTTAATGACTGAACACCCATTGTGTCTCCACTGCAGGTGGTCAACAGAGGCGACCCATATCCTCAGGAGGTAAGCGCCACTGTCCAAAATGTCATGGAAAGGCTGGGGTACTGCAACCCCTACCGACTGGTGTGGCAATCCAAGGTAGGTGGCTTCCACACTGGCGGGCAGCCAGCTCTTTTGGTAAAATGTATTTTATGAGTTGTAAAATGGTTAGACTTGGCTCTTACACATAGACAGGCTCTTCCATAACCTGAAGGCTCACCGTGGGCAGAAAGAATCTGCAAGTGAGTAAGATAGAAGGGGAAATCAAGTGACTTGTGGAGTTCCGTTGGTTTAATATTTTACTTTTAGCTGCAATGACAGAAACTGTTATTTATTTATATTGAGGCAACTACTAGGATTCAAGTTTCCATGTGAAAATATCAAAATCCATTCAAGCAGGTGTAAAGAGTGGCTCTTGCCCCCAGTGGGCAGTGCGTGTGCCCAGGGGGGCAAACAGGTACTACGGACCATCAGGAGGCATGGCCCACTTACACATTCGTCTACCTTTTGCATAGGTTGGTCCAATGCCCTGGTTGGGTCCTCAAACAGACGAATCTATCAAAGGGCTTTGTGAGAGGGGGAGGAAGAATATCCTCTTGGTTCCGATAGCGTTTACCAGTGACCATATTGAAACGCTGTATGAGCTGGACATCGAGTACTCTCAAGTTTTAGCCAAGGAGGTAAATGCACCCATCTGCCTTTATCCCACCATGACTTGTTTTAAAAGGAAATTTTCTCTGCAACTAACTAATGTGTCATTCAAAATATTGTTTACTGTATTTGTTTGCATTAGAAGGGGAAACCTGTGCTTTCCTTAAACCAGGTGCCCCAGGGATCACTGTGGCTGACATCATTTTGTTTGAGTTACTGGGCTACTCGAAAGTAATAACAACTACACTTTTTTAAGAAAAAAGAAATATACTTCTCACTAATTCCAAAGGAAAACATTTTATTGTTTTATAATTTCTTTTCTTTGCCTAATAGTGACCTTTACTCAGGGCTATTACATGGCTTCTTGTTGGGTGTCAAGGCATATAGGAGTCATTGTCATTTAAGAGAAGAGCGTGAAATGAACGTGGAAGCAATGTGTGGTGTGATTTCCTTGGCCTCTTTTATGCACTCACTTAATTAGCTGTTTGCTGCCGTGTTGTGATCAATCTGATTACTGAAATAACAAATACCATCTTTGGTGTCTTGTAATATGAGATGGATGTGAATTGTCATGCAGGATGGAGAAAAACTATTGTTCATCTATGTCCTGCCTTTTGAGAGCCGGCCTAAAACCTATGTCGAATTTATAGCTTTATTTTTATGGGAAGTGTGGAAGCATTGGGACCCAAGAAACCCTTTTCTCCCTTTCTGCCAGAGTTTCTGGCCCTGGTCACCCCACGTGTGATAGATGGAGGCCCAGCCTGCAGGAGACTTCACCCTCTCTGGGACTGGGCAGCAGGTGGAGGGCAGGGGGGAGAGTGGGTAGGGGCAGAACTGGAGCCAACACCCGACCCCCATGGAATTTGAATTTCCATGCTGGACATCAATCAGACGTGGGTGAAGTTAGGGAGCACCTAAGTTTCTTGTCAGTGGTTCTGACACAGGATTTGCAGGCAAGTTGTAATTGGCTAAGAAGTGGTTGCAGCATTGTCTATGGATTTTGTTTAAAGATGCCTTCTGTATCTGTCCATGGGCTGGCTAATTGTGAACTTGCTAAAACTTCAGTGAAAATATAGTTTATACCAATATATTTGGAAAACAATTTTTTATTTTAAATTTGTTATGATTTTATAAATTTGCTTAGAGATGAAATCTGGCTCTCTCAACCAGGCTGCAGTGCAGTGGCACAGTCATGGCTCCCTGCAGCCTCAAAATCCCGGGCTCAGGTGATCCTCTCCTCAGCTTCCTAAGTGGCTGGGACTACAGGTGCACACGGAATTTCAGTGTTGATATATATTTTTCTAGTTAGTGTATCGCTGACGACTCTCCCATCAACATTGTTGGAGAATGCCCTTCATCAACACTGGTTGTTCTGTTGTAACTGACTTTTATATGAAGTTTGAGAATATAGCCTCTTCAGTTGAGATCCATGTGTTTGCTGAATCTCAATGTCTTTCCCATGCCAGTCTCCTGATGTTAATGCTAATCTAAAAGATCAAGTAACTGAGGCCAGGTGTGGTGGTTCACACCTGTAATCTGAGCACTTCGGGAAGCTGAAGCAGGTGGATCACCTGAGGTCAGGAGTTTGAGACAAGCCTGACCAACATGGCGAAACCCCATCTGTACGAAAATACAAAACTTAGCCAAGCGTGATGATACGTGCCTGTAATCCCAGCTACTCGGGAGGCTGAGGCAGGAAAATCACTTGAATCCGGAAGGTGGAGGTTGCAATGAGCTGAGATTGCACTACTGCACTCCAGCCTGGGCAACAGACCGAAACTCCCTCTCAATAAATAAATAAATAAATAGATAAATAAAAAATATCAAGTAACTGAAAAGCTATCAGAAGAAAAGGGAGAGAGAAGAATCCTAACTACCTGAGTAAATCATGATTAGATTGTTTTCAGTTATTAGGCAGTGGATATTTTTGGAGCCAGGAGTAGGGATGGTACTGAAACAATCCTCCCATTGTTTTCCTTTAGATTTTTCTCCATAAGAATATATTTCAGGCCAGACTTGGTGGCTCACACGTGTAATCCCAGCCCTTTGGGAGGCTGAGGCGGGTGGATCATTTGAGGTCAGGAGTTCAAGACCAGCCTGGCCAACATGGTGAAACCCTGCCTCTACCAAAAATACAAAAATTAGCCAGGCATGGTAGTGGGTGCCTGTAATCTCAGCTACTCAAGAGGCTGATATATATGTGTGTGTGTGTGTGTGTATGTGTGTGTATATGTGTGTGTGTGTGTGTGTGTATATATATAAACCCAACTCTGAATTGGATCTAGTGTAGGTCCAATATACATTTTATAGTCAATAAGTTAATTTACTTCATTTTGGCACTTGGGATCAAAACAAGTATGAAACTATATTTAAAGCAACATTCTACTTAGAGTCTGTAAAATTATGCACTAGTAAAAGAGAATAAAAAAAGAATGGCAAACAGATTTAAATTGCTTGAGAATTTCATCAAGTGTAACCACAAAAAGGATTTGCAAACAAACCACCTGTAGGACGGTAACGGGAAGGGGAAGGACGTAAGAATTGAGGAATAATTTATGATAACAGAATCAACATACAGCCCTACCCCGTGACTGTTTTTCATTAATGAGCAGTCTGTGAACAGTTGAAGTCAGACTTTGAATTGTATGTGTGTGTCTGTGTGTATTTATTTTTTTGTAGCAGTTTCTTTGAAAAAAAAAAAAAAGAAAAATAAAGTATGTCTGTGTTTTTCCTCCCTTTTCTCATTTGATTCAGTGTGGAGTTGAAAACATCAGAAGAGCTGAGTCTCTTAATGGAAATCCATTGTTCTCTAAGGTATCTACAGTGTTACAACCGTTTTAGTAGAACATACCAGAGAGTAATCCTCTGAGAAACTTGCAGAATATTGGTTTTTCTCACATATTAGAACATTTGGAGTTCCAATTAATTACAAAAATAAAATCGAATTCCTTATCTGCTCAGTCTTTTTTCCTTCAGATAGCCCCAATTTTCTGATTTCTACCCACCTGTAACTATGTCTGATTTAAAACCTGCTTTCCAGAGAAAAGGCCTAGTGGGTGGGGTAAGAGGTTTTCATTTCCTGAAATCTCTGTTTGAACTTTCCCTAAGCTGAGGATTCTCAGGAAAGGAAGATGCTGTAGAATTTGGTTCAAAGGGCTCACCACTCGGATGAAAAGAAACCCCAAGCCAGAGTGCTGACCTGGGCAGCTGGAGGAGGGGGCATGGCAGACGAGCAGACCCTGTGCTTCTCATGCCTCTTTGCCTCTTGTCTGTCTTCCAGGCCCTGGCCGACTTGGTGCATTCGCACATCCAGTCAAACGAGCTGTGTTCCAAGCAGCTGACCCTGAGCTGTCCGCTCTGTGTCAATCCTGTCTGCAGGGAGACTAAATCCTTCTTCACCAGCCAGCAGCTGTGACCCCCGCTGGTGGATCCTGTGGCATTAGGCAAATGCCCAACCTCCAGATACCTCCGATGTGGAGAGGATGTTATTAGAGATCAAGGAAGGAAGTCATCCTTCCTTGATATATATACAGCCTTTGGGTACAAATTGTGTGATTTCTTGAGGACTGGACTCTATTGATGGATTTCTATTTTTGTATAACTATACAGTAAGCATTTGTATTTTCTCTCTCTAGGTATGTTACTAGTTTGGAATGTCCACTAGGACCTTTAATAAATGAGTTAAAAATGTATCTTATTAGACACACCTATTTTAAATACAGATTTTGGCTTTATTGCCCAAAAGCCTCCTGAAAGGGTACAGAGAGTCCCCTCTGTGGGCTGGCAGTGTGAATGAGATCTGTTTAGTCTTGTGCATATAGTTGCTGTTTTTTAAATGAACATAGTTGAATATTTGAAGTGAATTTGAAAAAGAAATGTTACTTAGTCTTTCCCTAAGCCCGTGGGTTACAGAGTGCTATGGAGGCAATTTGGTCACCTGCAATGGCTACTGTTGCCAGCGAGGCTACCATTCTTTGGTCATCTTGGTATTTGTGTATTAATCTCACTTTCCTCAGTGTAAAAAGGAATCAAGTACAGATTTCAGAAGTGCTCTGAGATTCCCCATACACCCGAGGCTAATAAACGTGTGCCAGTACAGTGTTCATGATACGTGCCTTGGTGGGAGTCTGTGGTGCCACAGGGAAGGGGCTCCCACTGCTTCTGGTCTCCGAGGACAGTGCTGCTGGAAAGGCTAACGATGAGCTTCACCCTGGAGCTCCTCCCGGGACCTTGCAAGCCTTTCCATCCAGCATCTTCTCTTAGTTGAATGCCTTCTTTCTACACATTTGTTTTCAGAATTATTTTATAAGGTCAACAATACTTCACTTGAATTCTTTCTTAATTTACAATTTTTTATTATAAAAATTTATAGCCATACAATGGGACACGTGAAGAATACAGAAAAGTAACCACTTTAATGAAATAACTATTATCATAGTATTGTATTTCATGCTAGTCCTTTCCTGTAGATATTTTTAATGCCATTGTCACCTTGGATTTGTGAGTGAAAAGTGTTTCAAAAGTATAGAAAAAATATCAGATCAGAATCTGATCTATATTTGTATTTAAATGGATTAAAAGATCCCTGGTGGTTCCCTGAAGAATTTGTAAAGATCACTTTCTCTTTCCTCCAAACCCTGAAACTTTGTTCTTCAAAAGAGCATTTTTTTTTAAAGCCAGTTTATAAACTGGAAGTATTAGGAGATTCATAAATCTTCTATATTGAGAATTGGCTGTGTTAATAAATATTACAACATCATTAAGGTTTTAACTAAGTTTGATTCATGCTGTCTGTTAAATCAAAACTGATCTAAATCAAAATTATTCAATGTGAGGAGCTTTTTTAATACAGGAAAAGAAACATGCCATCCACTTGAGTTAATAGTTTTCCCACATTGATGACAGCCCTCTTGAGTAGCGTCTACGTTTTTAAAATTTCAAATTGGCTTTTCTATTAGTAGATTGTGTTTCTAGAGAAAGATACAAGGCATAGGTAATTGTTTAGGATTTTCCTCTAGCCTTTTCCATTACCTTTTTGGGGATTAGGTTCACAGTAGACTTTGAGTGACCATCCCACCATGAGGTGAATTCTCTGGGTTAGTGGTGTGGTGCTGGAAGGAAGGTTATTTTTGGAGCTACTCTCTCTCCTTAAGGAAACTTCCCAAGGGTCTGCTTCAATTCTTCAATGAAAAAATAGACGTGAAAAAAATATTTTTATGGAGATGATGCAGAAAACTCCAATTCAGGAGCCCTTGCGAGTATATCTGAAGCAATTATTTGCTAAGGAAACCTGAATTGATAGTGCTGTGCTGTCTGGACTAATGTCTTTGATGCTGAGTTGGGACCAGACCAGCTTTTATAGCGACAGGCAAAGAGGGATTTATTGAGATCGCTGCTCATGGCATTTGTTATTGTAAGAAGTGTTGCCTTTGATTGTTACTAACCATGGATGGGTAATGGTCATACACTAGGCTAACGTTTGGTAGGACAAAATCTTTTTAGAGCTTTGAGAATTGTCGTCCTGTTGGTCAACTTTGAAATACAAATGTTTGCCCTGGTAATTAGCAGTGAACTACTGGCAGTTTCTTCAAGCTGTGTATGTACAGATCTGGCTTTTAATTGATGAATCAACTTCTACAGAAACTTTTGCAAGGACAGTGTTGATAAGGCAGTTTAGCTTGCCAGGGTGATGACAAAGCCCAGGTCCCTGCATGTACAGTGCTTTTCTAAAGAATATGCATTCTTGAACTACTTTTTTAAAAATCAAAATAAATTTTTGCACTCAAAATTTGCTTCATATCAGGAGAAATGAACTCATTGTGTGTCTGTGTGGTTTTTTTGTTTGTTTGTTTGTTTTAAGATGGAGTCTTGGTATGTCACCCATGCTGGAGTGCAGTGGTGCAATCTCATCTCACTGCCACCTCCACCTCCTGGGTTCAAGTGATCCTCCCACCTCAGCCTCCCAAGTAGCTGGGACTATAGGAGTGCACCACCACGCCGGGCTACGTTTTTATATTGTTTGTAGAGATGGGGTTTTACCACGTTGTCCAGGCTGGTCTTGAACTCCTGGGTTCAAGGGATTCTCCTGCCTCAGTTTCCCAAAGTGCTGGGATTACAAGGATGAGCCTCTGCACCTGGCCCTGAACTCATTATTAAAAGCCCTTTAAATGTGAGGCTGGGTGCAGTGCCTTACATGTATAATCCCAATACTTTGGGAGGCTGAGGTTGGAGGATTGCTTGATCCCAAGAGTTCAAGACCAGACCCTGACTCTACAAAAAGTAAAGTAAAAATTAACGGGGTGTAGTGGCACATGCCTGTAGTTCCAGCTACTTGGGAGGCTGAGTTGGTAGGATTGCTTGAGCCCAGCAGTTTGAGGTTGCAGTGAGGTGTGATTGCACCACTGCACTCCAGCCTGGGTGACAGAGGAAGACCCTGTCCCAAAATTTAAAAAAAAAAAAAAAGAAATACTGGAGACTGGGTCATTTATAAAGGAAAGAGGTTTAATCGACTCAGTTCGGCATGTCTGAGGAAGCCTCAGGAAATTTACAGTCATGGCAAAAGGGGAAGCAGATGTCTTACATGGCAGCAGGTGAGAGCTTAAGCAAGCGGGAAAGAGCCCCTTATAAAACCATCAGATCTTGTGAGAACTCACATGAACAGCATGTGGGGAACTGTCTCCATGTTTCCATCTCCTTCCACCAGGTCCCTCCCTCAACACATGTGGGGATTATGGGGATTACAATTTGAGATGAGATTTGGGTGGGGACACAGAGCCAAACCATATCATTCCACCCTGGCCACTCCCAAATCTTATATCCTTTTTACATTTCAAAACCAATCATGCCTTCCCAAGAGTGCCCTAGAGTCTTAACTCATTCCAGCATTAACCCAGAAGTCCAAGTTCAAAGTCCCATCTGAGACAAGTCAAGTCCCTTCTGCCTGTGAGCCTGTAAAATTAAAAGTAAGTTACTTCCAAGATACAATGGGAGTACAGACATTGGTAAATGTTCCCATTCCAAATGGGAGAAATTGGCCAAAATACAGGGGCGACAGGCCCCATGCGCTACTGCGCTCCCCTGTGCAAGTCTCAAACCTGGCAGGGCACTCCTTAAATTTTTTTTTTTTTTTATGATGAGTCTTGCTCTGTTGCCCAGGCTGGAGTGCAGTGTGATCTCGGGTCACTGCAAGCTCCGCCTCCCGGGTTCAAAGGATCATCCTGCCTCAGCCTCCTGAGTAGCTGGGATTACAGGCATGTGCCACCACACCTGGCTAATTTTTGTATTTTTAGTAGAGATGGGGTTTCACCATCTTGGTCAGGTTGGTCTCTAACTCCTGACCTCGTGATCCGCCTGCCTTGGCCTCCCAAAGTGTTGGGATTACAGGTGTGAGCCACCACCCCCGGCCTACTCATTAAAGTTACAGAATAATCTTTGACTCCATGTCTCACCTCCAGCTCACGCTGATGCAAGAGGTGGGCTAATCTTTCTCATAACTTGGGTATTTAATTCAAGAAACCCTAACTTAAGGCATGTAAAAGAGATCCTTTGCTCAATCTGATGCCATTGTGTTTATCCAAAGTGTATTATCATTACCCACAAAGGGTGAGAGAGTAGGCTGCAACCATACCCCAAGTGGAGTGAGCAGCAAGACCTGCCCCTGCTCAGAGTGTAGGTGATCGAGGGCGCCTGCTTTCCTAGGGGCTCTGCCGTATGAGCTCCTCTCGATGCGGCAAAGGACCACCTTGCACAACCACAGCGGGAAGGCAGAATTTAAAGCTGGCAGCTGTAAGAAAGCGAACGTCTGTGTGTGCGCACGGGGGCGCGTGAAGGCGCAGGTGCATCAGCCAGGAACCTCCAGTTCGCCTCGTAACCTTCTCACCTCACCTGAAACCCCTTCTGCCAGAATCCTGAAGGTGGTCCAGGAACGTGGCTCCCAGCGTTAGGTGGAAATGGGAAATTCGTTGAGATGTCACAAGCTGGAATAAGAAAATTCTGAACTCACTCGGAAATGAATGCCCTAAATTAAGATTATTCAGCTTCTCAGTTGTTAATAGCAAAATGGAGACCTGAGCTTGGATAACTTTTGGTATCTGTGGGGAATCCTGGAACCAATCCCCACCGACATAGAAGGACAACCGTCCACAGTACTTGAACGTATTATTAACTGTATTCATTATGTATGTTAGATGCCCAGAACATATTTATCCTGCATATCTAAACGTTTGATCATTTTACAAACCTTCTATTTTTTTTTTTTTTGCCGATTTTATCCAGCTAGACACTTGTGCAATATGGCTACTATCTGATCTTTGCCTTAAATGTTGTGCTTCTTTTCCATATGCACGTATTTTGCAAAATATAAAGTGTGTAGAGCTATATAGCACTGAGCCAAGTGGTGGGTACCTGCGGGTGCTTCAAAGAAGTAAACTGATGCTGCTAATATTTATTGAATGGCGCGAACATGATGAGCAATAGCAGGTGGTGCCCTTCAGCCAGACCATTGCTCCATGCGTGTGATGCCTCTTGCCAAACAGTAGTTCTGGGAGGTGGTTGCCTCTAGAGAACACATTCCTAATATCCTGGGGTCCCGTGAGAGAAAGAAATGCTTTTGCTTTTGATGTGGGACTCGTATTAAGCCTTTCTTCAGGGAAAAGGCAGTGAAAAATGCACCCTGTGATAATCAGTTTCTTACAACATGCTGTGATAGTACCGGCTTCATTGTTTTTAGCTGGAATCATTAGCTTCCATTTTTAGAGTAACAGCTATTGGCTAAATTAGGCTACAGTAGGCCATTAAGATGGATGTTGGAATTAAAAACATTTTTGGAAAAAAGCCTGCTTTGAGCCTTTGTTAGAAGCCCTTGGGCAGAGATCTGGGTCCTGTTTCTGATTTCTTGTGAGCCTTCACTCTGACAGTTTTGTTTCCAGAAACACACTCTTAGCCTGCTCCTGAAATGCAAACAGACAGGCCAACTTCCCCTCTCCAGTCTCCCCTGCGGGTCAAAGCTTTACCTTCCTGTCATGTTAAGAAAGAATAGATTTAACCTCGAGAATCCATGGAGTGTTGTGTATTCTTACCTTTTCCTTATTTTAAAAAAGTGTACATATGGCATGGAATTGATTGCAGAGGCACATGACATGTTGACTTGTGAACCCATTGTTAAAATTTCAAGTTAACAATCATTAAAATAATAACTTTCAAATTAAGTTATGTTAAAAACAAAGGTAACATTCAAAATTCATTGCTTTCTAATTATTTCACCCTATTTTTTGTTGTTGATTATTTAGACTTAGGAAAGTGATGGGAAAAAATGTTAATAACGCAATACATAATTGTTTCTGCAACCATTACCTTGTGATATTCACAAACACTTGAACACTTGAATAGTCTTCCATTATTTGAAAACTATTATTCAATTTATCCAAGTGAAGTATTGGCATACAAAGAAGTTGTTTCATATTTGCATTGCTCATTAATGTAAACAAAACGTCAATATGTGTGAACTATGCTTGTTGATCAATGGCAACCACAGGTTGGTTGCAGATACAAGAGCTTGGTAAAAATCAACAAAAGCATTCTCTGAGGATGAATTGGCTATATGGAAGTTACAGGAAGGCGTATTGTGTATTTTATTATTATTTGTAGATTGTGTGTTCCACATCTTTTAGATAAGTAAAATTTATAGTAAACGTACTCTCACACATACATATATGCATAGATTGTTTTTCAGATTGCTGGTTAGTCACCATTTACCAGCAC